ACCGCAACGCGTCGTAGGGGAGCGGGAACACTAGCTAGAAAACTAAAAAAAAAATGGTTCTTCGCTAATTAATGTTTAGTTTACATGATTCTGTAGTTGTCTGAATTCTGTTCATAAGTGTGTATCACGTCTATTCAAAAATAAATCAATTGACCAGATTCGATCGGATACAAAAATATGTCACCCTTCTTATTTCGGGTGCGATGTTTGTGCGCACAAGAAATCGCCAACAAATACTACATTATCATGCAAATCTGACAAAAAATATAAAGAAAGGAAAACTGATTCACTATACGTTCAGCTTTGGTTTGCTTGTCACCACAGTGTCTACTTTAACTAACTCCCTCGCTAACGAGAGAACACAGATTCGCGTTCGAGGAAAATGTAAATTATAAGAATATAATATCATGCTTTCTAGTTTGAGCAATCAATCGTGGGCCTATACACTTTAAGCTTGAAAATACAGATTTAACTTTCCGTCTCACAATTCAATAAAATGTCCAGAAATACCGGCAGTGATTTGATATTATTAAGAGGTTCAATAAGCGACAATAAGTGTTTGTTTTTTTGTAGACACACAAATTCCCTAAGTCAAGGCTATATGTATGACAGCACTTATCAAATTTACAAATGAAATCCCAAACAACAACATGCATGACAAGTTGAAAATTGCTGATTTTGAACAAGTAAAGGGCAATAATTCTAGCATATTATGCGGTAAGTCGGCAAGCGACATCCAATGTTCACAACTTCATATGCTCACTAATATTGACGTAAAGTTATATATACACTAGCTCAAAAACTGTTACATGCGACACAAGTATAAATTTCAATTTTGTACAAAGTTAGTGAAGGACACTTTCTCTGGCAATACTGCGGGAATCGACAAGCTTTATCTCAGATGATTAACTACATTCGTGTAAAGTATCATGACCATGACCCTAGTTCAAATAATCTTGAAACTGCGCGCGACATAAGTTGATAATTTCCGATTTGACTAAATCAAGGGGAATAAATTTGGCATGACTGTCCGAATCGACAAGCGAAACCCAGGTGCACAATAACACAATGCTGACCAACTTTTTTATGGAACAACATCCAAGATTTTGGTATGGACGGACGGAGGCACAAGCGCAGGGACAAGTAAAAAGTTTAAATCCCCCTCCCCCTCAGAGAGGATGAATAAAAAGTCAAGTCAATAAATATTTATGTCCAAAATATTTAGCACATGTTTTCAACAAAGCCAGTCACTGTGTATTGAGACAGTTGTCATCTTACTGGTAAAATGATAAGCAAGGCGGCATGGACTTAAACAAATGTATTGCTGGTTTACGATGACGATGATGATGTCATCATTGATGATGATGATGATGATTTGTTGTTGTTGTTTTCGTAATTGATGATGATGACGATGATGATAATGTATTATCAACGTTGATGAAGGTAGATTAAACGACGATGATAATGTTAGTTTACTGTGTAAAATGTGTGACATACACGGTCAGGTATTAACTACCGAATTGCAGGAACGTATATGGCACATAAACACAGCTCTGATAATATGGACGAATATGTCCCTCATATGTGACATATACGTTCAGTGACATATACGGTCCGACAAAGGTATGCTTATGGTATGCTACGTATGCTTCGTATAAGATAAACCTATATTGCATGAAAAAATGCACATCATAAAATGATAAATAAGCATCTTTACGACGTTGGTAGAACGGCATTATACTGATAATGAAAAACTTAATTGGAATTGAAATAAGGGAATGCTTACCAAATATAAGGACACAGACCACTCTTGGTGGAGTGGTCGTGAAAATTTTGCTTTTCATCGACAGGGTGAGTGAGCCTTAAAACGATACAGCATCACGAAATGACACATAAGCATTGCAAAATAGCAGGCATAATAATATGACGGATAGTATAATAGTAATATAGCATCGTATAATAGACATTGAACAAAACTTATTAAGCAGCTTATAAATTCTGATGGCCTTCCATATCTACCCGTTGAAAAATAATTCGGATTTGGTTCAAATTGTACATAAGAGGGCATTTAATAACCATTATTATCGTCATACATACTTTTAATGTAATTTAACCGAAATAGACTTATTTCTTCTGGATACGAAATATAAACATTCGTTATACATGATTAAAGATTACACCGTTTGTTTATGTAAACTTACATCTAAAAACCACATTATAGAAATGCTTTCAATCTTTATTAGGTCCAAGGCTATCATGCCTTTTTTAAAACACAAAAATCCCTGTCTTTGCTTTAATGTTAACCTTTGAATTAGAGACATTTACGCATGACGCCTCGTCTTCAATGGTGACAATATAAATTTACGTACAAAAACGGGTAAAATCTATATTTATGCTTCCAAGAAGAACGTACAAATGGGTCAAATCTATATTTATGCTTCCTATAAGAACGTACAAAATAGGCAAAATCTATATTTATACTTCCACGTTGAACGTACAAATGGGTCAAATCTATATTTATGCTTCCAAGAAGAACGTACAAAATGGGTCACATCTATATTTATGCTTCCAAGAATAACGTACAAAATTGATCAAATCTATATTTATGCTTCCAAGAACTCACAAAATGGACCAAATCTATATTTAATAATATGCTTCCAAGAAGAACGTACAAAATGAGTCAAATCTATAGTCATGCTTCCAAGAATAACGTACAAAATTGATCAAATCTATATTTATGCTTCCAAGAAGAACTTAAAAAATGTGACAAATCTATTTTCGTGTTTCTAAAACGAAAGTACAAAATGGGTCAAATCTATATTATGCTTACAAGAAGAACGTACAAAATGGGTCAAATCTATATTATGCTTACAAGAAGAACGTACGAAATGGGTCAAATCTATATTGATGCTTCCAAGAATAACGTACAATTTAAGTCAAATCTATATTTATGCTTTCAAGAAAAACGCACAAAATGGGTAAAATTCTATATAAATTTATGCTTCCAAGAAGAACGTTCAATGTTGGTGGAATATATTCATATGCGGATAATAGTTAAGATAGTGGGTCAAATCTATATTTATGTTTCCAAGAAGAAACGAACAAACGGGATCAATCCTATAACATGCTTCCTAGAAGACAATAAGAATTTCTAAGTTTTAATCAAAACTATTTTTCAATACCTGATAACAATTTAGGGTTGAAATTACATTGTCAATGGTATAAAACATGTACGGGTTAAAGCATGTAACTCCACGTGAGCACGTTCTAATGGCAACAATTTACATTTTAAAGAAGAACTGTCTAAATTTGGCCAAGTCAATATTTGTTTTATATTGTAAAGGTATGTCAGTGTCGAAATGATAAATTCATGTTAAGTTTTAATTTAGATAATAATAAAGGCCAAAATATAAAACGATTGTATTCATGGGATCTGAATTTAAGCGACAAAATTACGACAAAATGTTGAAGGGATTCAAACATTTGAATATAGAATACAACACCTATTAAATTTGCACAGCTTAAACCATCATAAATTGAATGACATGTGAATTAAAATGAAAGGGTAATTTTATTTGATCTTCAGACAGAGTGTAAACAAAATATTAAGATAAAGGGTATCGGTTTGTAATGAAGTTTTGATAACACACTTAAAGCAGCACCTCTCCAGCAGATAACAGTAAAGCCATCGTCTAACTAGTACTTCAAAACATTATATATATATATAGGTGAAGATGTTTTAACAATACAAAACATGTATGCATATAGATCTCTTTACAATATATTGAGAGATATATACTTAAAGAGGAACAAGAGATTTCTTTTAAGATTCTACAAATAATTTAAAGAAATTAATTCAAAAGTATTCAATAGTATAATACCAATAATGTGAAACGTCATTTAAGCCAGATCTATTTTAATTATAACATTAGAAAATGATTATTTTCAGAATTTATTACATTACAATATTATAGAACTTATTTAACATAAAGGATAGATCTCAATATAACAATGAAAACTTAACTTTGATACTTTTTTTGACAAATTTGGCATTTACTCAGGAGAAACAACTCATACTATTGTAATGATGATGTTCAATTAAGAGTTGTACCTCTTTTCATGAATACTCATAAGGATTAATTAAAATAAAAAAGACTAAAGGTCATAAAAGGTGTTCAAGAGAGAAAAAAAAAACAAAAGATAAAAACAGGTTTGGGGCGGGTTGACCTGAGCGTGTGGACTGGCCAAACATCAGGAAAAAAACGTTCCCAGGCTGTTTAATTAATAATTTCCAACTGTTTCTATACAATTGAGATATAGATAAACAATAAGTAGTTTAATTTAAATCTAACCCAATATATACCCTTATAATTTCAATTTAAAAAAACAACAAAAAAAAAAACAAAAAAACTTATAATAATAACTTATGGTCATTTTCCTCCCTCCGAATATCATTAGATCATGTACCAATTATATCAGTATTATCCCTTCCTTTGTTTTTATATTACAGTACAGCAGTGTCGAGTTTGGCCTTTAATAGACGCCGTTGTTACTATTTTTAACATTATAAAGGAGACAGTGCAGAAATGTCAATACACAGACCACGTGGTTTAGATCACAAAATTCTTCAAGCTAAGCTGCAAAATCGGATAGGTAAATGCGCCAATGAAATCTGTTTGATAACGACCAATATTATCTCTTCATTTCTTCCAAATTAGCCATACAAAACGCATAAATTTTCGGCCAATCAAAATTCACCTTTTAAACGTGGTTCGGCGCTATCTGTCAAAATCGTTTCCGCATTGTTCTCCCTAATAAAAAAGAAGTTATACTATATGATGGCCGTATTGAAAGGTAAAAACTATTTTCTCTGGCGTGTTACTAAACCTTTTCATGTGTGAAATAAGTTTAAAAACGAAGTATTATAGTGTTTTACTGCGTTGGCCTGCTATAGGAAGGGGTACGCGTATAAACGTCTTCCCCCTTCTAATAGACCTTTCTATCTTAAACGGACTTCGTAAACGGACTCCGTAATACTGAATAAAATGGGGGATTTTCTCAAAACATAAATGTGGAAAATATGATGTAAAAATCAGTAGCTTTAACTGTAATATGTAGCGTTTTTGTACATGAATATGTTTGCTATATTATTTCTATAAACCACCAACACAATAATAGATATAATATAACCAAAATGTTTATATAGACTAAAAAACAAAACAAGTTTCTTAATTCATATACTTTATTGTCATGTTAATTTTTCAACAAAGATAACTCAGATGACCATTTTTATAAGTTATGTGTGAGTACGTGGTTTAAAAAAGGGACTAAACGTAATTGTCATCACTGCTATCACTGCTTACGCCAAGTTCACGGAGTATTTTTGGAATCTTTTTTGTCAGGAATCTCCTGTAGAGAGCCTGGTTTTCTCTAATTTGATCGGCAAGGGAGCGCCTATTCCTCCTGCGATGTGCCGGTAGATTACGTTGACCGGCTGCAACGTTTAAAACAGCCGGCTCTGGGGATTGAACTTGGCTTGGACCTGCCCTCTCCTCGTTGTTGTCAACCTGCAAGTTTTGCTGATGTTGACCGCCTGCGGGCTGTGGAGCTGCTCTATCGCCTCCTCCAACATCATTGTCGTCGGACTCACTGACTTGTTGAAGTAGGAGCTCCTTTTGATCGCCCTGTTGCCTGGTGTTAACTTCGCTTGGCGGAGGAACAAGTCTACGCTCTAAATCCCGTATACGTTGCACATGTGTCCTGAATTGAGAATAAGAAATTAATCAGTTAGTATCCCTGGAGATACTTAAAGAGACTGTCACTTCATGTACAACTTATTTTTACATAAATACATCAAATTTAATAATAAAAATATTACACTATAACAAAAGTAGTGTCTATCATCAACAGCAATATTTTGTTGACAATTATTTCAATTATGTTTTGCTTGAAAAAAAAGAGTATTTTATATAAACTTATTACACGACCGCTTATATAAATCATCTGTCAACACATGTCCGATTTTTAAAAGTAACTGTTATCATGTAAAATCCTTAATTTTGAAATTTTGTTTGTTGATCTTCATTACAGAAAATATTTCTTAGCTTAGATACTAGCATACTGTTTTATTTCTCTGAGCATTGCTAAAATCTTACCTTATATCAGCATCCTCAATGGTATCAATATTGCTGTGAAGAAGTCGACCAAACTTATTTGAAACTCTGTCTTTCAATTGTTTTGATGTAGCCGTTCTGTACAGCAACTGATGGTTATTTGACAGTTGTTCTATATTTGCCTTGATATCAGTAATAACGTTGGCCCAGCTACTTGGGTGAAGTTCATATGCCCTTAGAATTAATAAGGTTTCTTCCTTTGAAAAAGGAACTTTCCTTCGACGTTGCAATGCACCTGAAATAATAAAACATAGATTTATACGACATTTGCATGCATTTTTGCTGTAAACGAAAACCAGACAGAAAAATCTTGCAAATTTGCAGTTGTCCTCTTTTTAACTGTTTGAAATGAAGTTTGCATTCTGCTGAATCATGATTGTAGGCAGGGGGGTGGGGGTGTAAAGAAGTGACACATAGAGGACATTGATATTTGAGCTGATATGCTGAGGATTAAATAGAAATATAATTTGTATTATATTCAGTCATTTTTGATATCAGTATGTAAAAAGGTATCTTCGTATCAGTTGCTATAACTTAGTCTCAACACAAAGACGTTTTCAGGTTTTGTGAGGCATAACAAAATGTCACGTGAGCTCTTCATTTGATTACGACCATTCATGTCAAACGTGCAGACGATAATCATCTTCCGTTGCGACAAACAATATTTTTCTGAAAGTATGTAAATCATTTATTTTTAAAAATATGTGATACATATATATAATATATAAAATGTTCGATATGTACAAACCTTCATGTATTTTTCATCATCCATCTGTATCAATATCACGGTTACAAATGTATGTACAATATTTATGTATATAACGCTTATTGGCTTATTGTAAATTGCACGAAATTTTCGAGCGTTAGAATTATACTTAGTATATAACAACCACATATTAAACCACAGGTATTCGAAAGTTGATGATTTTCTTACAATAATACTTCTGCGCGGGAAAAACTGTTCTTCGTCAATACCAATTATTTACGTTTGTCAAAAAGTGGCTTACTTTTCGCTGCTATATTATTGTTTACATTGTTTTTCGATTTTCAGAATGGACGTTAGCAGGCGAAGACTACTTTTAGCAGCACTACCTGCTTTAGTTCAACCCCCACCAGATGCTTCAGAGTATATCAATCGTGTTAGGTCATGTTTAGTGGCCGTAGTGATGCCACCTCTAAACCCTGTTCTAGATATTCGTCACCGTTTATTTTCAAATGATTCTAATATATATTCGGGAAGAAACGTTTTCCAAATATTCTCGGCAAATAGGTACAATTTCTATAATCTTACTGGTGAAACACCAGAAACATTAATAGATATGTTACAAATTGTAAACCTAAGGAATAACAGTCGTCACAAACTGTCTCCAGTAAACAGAATCTTATTGTTTGTTATATGGATTCGGTGTTACCCAACTCTCATGACACTTTCAGCAATATTCAATGTGTGCACCGCATATGTACATGTTGAAATTCGCATAATGATACGCACATTTTACGCAGCATTTTCGCATTACATTACTTGGCCTACAATAGATCAGTGGCTTAGTAAACGTGGTGATTGGGATAAACTGTACCCCGCAGTTGGTGCAATAGATGGTACATCACACGAAATATTGCGACCAATGAATGTGCCACACACACACACACAACCAAAAGCATGCTTTTTCACAATTTGAAAATTTAAAATAATTTGGTCCTTTCTACGATAAATGGAAATTTTGGTCGGGTATGGGAAGTTATTGGCAAACCGAACAGGACTTGAGGAATTATATTCCTGATACACACAGTTAGGGAGTTATACACAAATCAATGTTTTGGAATAATCATAAATAAACTGCTAAAATAAGAAGTTTGCGATGCCGATATACGCGCAAAGAGATGCACGTCAGATTGCGGGACACGATTGGAATGCGTGCTCTAGATATTGCAAGAACATACAAACACCGGACATGGATAGAATACTATCAGCACACAAATGTTATTTGAAGGGTTAAAAACTATACACTAAGCAATACAATTGCCTCATATAAGCCACATTTCATCCTGGTGTAATTACTCGTTTTGCGAAGGTCTGAATATCTTACGTACGATCTGGATGGATATGAATAGAAGCAACCAAAGATTTGATGCGGTCAGAGACATAGATAACAGAGATAAGCAGCTCCTATATACTCCATTGAAATATCACTCATGCCTATAAAAAAGTGGAAAATTAGGCATTTTGTAGCAAATAAAACTTAATGGATGTACATATGATCCTTTAAAATTATATACCATTTGAAAGGTAAATCTTTCATCTATGGCTGCATGTTAAAATATTGGTAACTTTCCATGCCTTTCACTTAGAAAAACATGGCAGAACATACCCACTGAGCCAGTTTTTTATCATATGAATAGTTTTGTAACAAAAAATATTAAGTAGTTCTCTTTAAAAAATGATATAACATTTATTTAAATGGGAACTGTAAATTTTTTTACCTGCAGCCATAGACAAATGCATAAGCTTTCAGAAAATGTATTATTTTACCGATTTTGATATCTGGTTAATAAGTTTTACTTGCTACAAGTTTTAAGTTTAGTAGGCATGCGTGATATTTTAACTGGCTAGGAAGTAGCCTATCTCTGTTATCTATGTCTCTGATGCGGTGAAAAAAAAGTATGCGATCCTATGTTTGTTTTATCCGAGGAAAATTCTATTATGATAGAAAACACCACTACTAAAGAAGATTTCTACAAGATGATTGTAAAGGCATACAGTATCGAAACAATTTCCTTTATAATTACATCAGTATGGCTATGCGAAGACGGACAAGTACCAATTATAAGCCAACAGGAAATGGCCTAGCTCTTGGACCGTATACTGTCATGTACCAAATGCTATTACTCTTTTGGGACAAACTAACCCCTGAAAGCGGATCAATGTACCGCCAGATGAAAATGAGGGATGTAAACATGTAAACAAGAGGTACGGTTTTCTACTGGCAATCTGTTGTTTCTTCAACGAAAGATGAGGTAATTGCTAAAAGTTTCCCCGGGCGAATATATTGTTTTGTTTGTAATAGACAACAGTGCGAAGTGTGAGTGGAAGCCAAAAAATATAGAAAAGAGTACGCTTCGTATAGTAATTCTTTAAGTTCAAACCCTGCTGGTGCAAAGTTTCGTGTAATGAGTTCGTCTGAGTTTTGCAAACGTTTTTACCGAGTGAAGCTTTCATTGCTGGCGCATTAAATAACGTTAGTTTTAGTCTTGATTACCTGTATACGGGCAAATAAGAACAGTACTTAACGAGTGTCCGTCGATAAGACATTGGCATTACCTGTGGTGCAAGTATCTTGATTATTTGTAGATGGCTACAACATAGAATTTTAGACACTGTATATTTAACTTTACTTTTGACGAAGTATGAAAATGCCAGTCTAGAACTAATTTCACGAATAAAAATGTTTGAATCCTATTTTCTTTGCCAAACTATTTCTGTTGAATTCTTTATTGTTTGCCATTTGAGAATCCTATAGAATTTCCCGTTTCTATATTGTATATAGCAAATTTAAGATATGTGAACACTATTAATATATGCCAATTGTACTAAGTTGTATGAGTAAGTAAGTTTAATGAAACTGGTTTGTTTATGAAAAACAAAACAAAGGCTTAACAGATAATGACATATATCTTATGCAAATGAATAACACTGTTTCTTTGAAACAAAAGACTTGTGCAGTACAAAATTGTTACTTGTTGCTTACGAAAAAATTACATTATTGTTTTTTATAACAGGGTTCTGCGGCACAGATACGTTTCATACCTGTATTGCTATTAAATTTAATTGTACACACGACTATGATTTGGTGAACTTATTCATTTTATATATATATATTTCTCCTAAAAGTTGAGGAACTGCATCACTGCTTTTAAGCATGGTATACTGCATTATATTTTATGCTCCCGTCGAAGTTTTTAATTTCTGTAAGCCTTTTATTATCAATGGACTAGATGATCATGATTTTTTGTGGGTGTAGGGTAAACCATTGGAAAGTGGCACCACCAACTGCACTGCCCGAGTCATATTGACGTCCAAATATGATGTTCTTTGAAAAGGGGAGCAAGAAAAAGGTACATGATTTAAGATCTTGCAAATAAGATGAGTCTGGACTCAAAACACTATGTCTTTGATTTAACTTTCCTGATTCAGCGAACATTTGTAAACGGCACTAACTTTGAGGTCCATTTCCTTGTAAACCTTTTGTTCAAACGACTACAGTTTCTTTGGATTAAAAAAATATAATAAGCTAATAATTTGATTATATGATACATATTCTATTCTTCAAATTAAAACTCAGCAGAAGCTTATTTCTATATCATTTTCTCCTTAATGGTAAAATCTTGACCATGTCAACACTTTTCTTTATAGCTGATCCTAATTGACCGGCTGTTGACAAATCCAAATTAAAGTTGGGGGAAAAAGCTTGTCACATGCCAGTTTTACTTACGGTGGTCGCTAGCTGATATCAAGAACATGAGCAAAAAGTATCAATCAATTTGTTGACAAAAAGTAGTATTAAATTATTTCGCTGTAATTACGTAAATGTTCATCATCACAGCAAATATACCTAAAGAAGAAACATAGCCTAGTTTTACATATGACACATTGTCTCAATCTTCCATATATTTATGAAAAAATGTACAAAAGGCACCAATTAATGAGAAAGGTATAAACCGGACACAACCATCTTTTCACATTTATATCATAAAAGTTTAACCTTAATCATAACCATGCTGACCTGGCTCTTGTACATGACAGGACCTTTTCATATTTTCACATTTAAGCGTAGTTATTGTCGTGACAGGAAGGCGACATATACAATCAACAAGAATTGACCATTTCTATCCGTACACTGTCTGCCCTAGGCTAATCAACCCTAGGCTCGAAACCAGTGTGTAGGCTCCTATGGCGTAAACGATATAAGAAATATTTCTTTTAAAAGAAGACTCCTTGGTTCCATTCTTCAGGAAGGAGTCTATGTCGTGAAAAACATAGTTTTAGAATGCCCGGGTTAATGGCGATGTTTAGCATTCTTTGGAAATAATTATTAATTTATTCAATCAATAAATGACAAATTGTTGCCCGGATCCACCACTGATTAATTTGACAAAAAAACTTTTAATTTAGACGTGCCCCTGATCTTCAGGCTGCTAAACTGGCTCTTGGTCTTACATATCCTAGTAAATACTCTTGCGCAATTAACACTGACATAAAAAATACCGTTTCTCATGCTCATAGTACCCCTGTTTGAAGGATAAGTAATAATATAAAGTTCATCCTTTCCTAACCCGATTGAAGCCGTTTATTTATTCTAAGTTATTTTAATATCAAACTATGAATAACAGAATCATGAACAAGCATTTCAAGTATTATTTGAAATTTGTCTCAATGTGTTACACATTAATGCAATTTATTTAAAAATCTATTCTAAAGTGACAGTTATGGACGGGGCTTAAAGTGGACATACGGACACATTCCTACTGAGCTGACGTTGTGCGGATATGTCAGTGAACTTCGTTAATTTCTTAAAAACCTTATAAGCAGCCTTTTTGCCTCTTATAACCAATGATCCGGCTTACACGGAATTAACTTTCTACTGGCACGCTCAGACGGATAGTCGGACGGGCAGATGTGTGAGATCAAAACTTATTTAAAAAGGCATCGCAATAGTTTAAAAGAACATTTGTTGTATGCTTGGAAATATGGAAATTAACATCTAAATGACAAAAGGAAATGTTATTCTCAATTATTTCAGTCTTATTTATGACATTATTGCACCCTTAATGTTGGAGATTAATAGATGTTTCTTTAGCTGGCAGCCATCTTAATTCAGTTTGACTTCCTGTAACACTTACAGGAAAGGACTGAATATAATAGAGAAAAACAGAATCCCTAAAGAAAGCCCAACACGGCAAAATTGAAAACGTTGCAGGCTCGGATTGATTGAGCCTGTTCATGGACGGTACTGTAAAGTGCAAGTTACCGACCACGCCCCCTAGCACCGGCTTAAGCAGAATTCAACGTTTAAACACGAAAATGGTGAAATTTTTAATTTAGAATATCCGCAGATGTGTTTATGCGGCGGTAATCATGGAACCTTCAATGTTACACAGTAGTGCCATTCCATGAAAATTGGCGTATGGTCCCCAAGTAAACAACATTTATGATAAGAATTTTTTTCATTTGTCATTTGTTATGTCCAGGGTATAGATATATATAGATAAGAAACACATTTGATTGTAACCACGTTTATTTTAGAAAGCCATGTTATATCTTGACCGGAAAGTTCCAGTACTTTTTTACCCATCATGCAATATAGTTATAAATAGCAGACTACAGTAATGAAGGATATTACATCCCTCCTCTCTTGGATTGAAACATCATCTTATATAAATTTATTATTGTAAATATTATCAAATCAATATTATTTTTTAATTAATATTCTAAATACAATACATATTCAATTAACCAAAATCATAAACATGTACATTGTATATAATGTTTCTACAGATGGAACACAAATTCAGCATCTAACTGTTATGTCCAAGTTTGTTTATATCAGCATTCCTGATTCCACGTGGTCTGTTATAAAGCAATTAATCATGAGGAAAACTGGAAACTGCCCGAATTCCAACC